GATGGCGGCCTTGTGGTCACGTGACTTAGTTTCCATGGTAACCAAGGCTCTAAGGTTCCTTCTTTTCACAAAAGACATTAACTTGCCAAGTTTGGGGAAGATTCGTAGAAAACTGGCTATGATATAGCCAAACAGTTTTTCATCTGAGAGCCATGCCTTAATGATGCTGAGCCCAATTCATTAGTCTTTTTTCATTTAATTTTAATCTTTCAAAATTTACAACCATTACATTTGCAATAAAGTTTCACTCCGCGGGGTTGCTCGTAATGTAGTATGACATAAGGTGGCATGGCGTTTCTTATTGCTTGGTATCATTCAGCTGCTGTGAATGAATCTCATTAGTGCCACGTCAAGTCTTCACTCAAGGACAACCATTTGATTGCTCTCCACGTTCATTCATCTATATACTGTATGTTGCAAAACTTGCCATTCAGCTGGTAATTACTGAAAACTCCACACGAGACAAGAAATGACGCCTATTGATAGCAACTTATACAGAATGGCTGCTATGGTTACGTGTATAGAGTGTGTTCAACTATGCGACTCAAAATCCCTTGAGATATGAATAACAATGAAACAACCGCCATCTTGGTTGATCTAACAAGAGAAGCTAAGGAGGAATGCTATGTTACCGTCAACCAAGATGGCGGTAATGACGTAACATACGCCTGCTCTATTGAAAGAAAAAGGATGACGTCTTTCTTCCATTTGACTGAATAACTTGCAGTCCGTCCCCTTAGAAGTACATTCATCCTACTCTTTTTCTTATGCTCAGGAATCACGAAGGTAAAAACGGCAGAAGAATCAAGTTTAGATTAACTAATTTAATAATAATCAAATTTGTTCAAAGTGTTTTAACCGTACATGCGCCATTAACAGTTTTTGCTTATTCAGTTTTTTTTATCRTGCAATACACTAAGAGGAGCATAATTAAAGGTACATTTAATTCAGGGCTAGCTACCTGAGAGAGACTTTCTCATGTAAATCATCTTAGACCAGATTTAATTGTTCCTGTCTCCTGTCATGGCTGCCATCACGTGATGGTGCAAAGCCTCTTTTTCATGTGTAAATGTTGAGAGTAAAAAAAAAATTCTCATTGGGGGAGGGGTAGGGGGACTGTAACCTAGATCTGCCCCTGACATGGTTCTACAACCTTTTATTGTTTGACAACTTGTTGCATCCAATTGCATCCAAAATGACCCACTATTAACGAGCAGTAACCAGCCGTGTTACTAGCACGACATAGATAGCTAAAGATTTATTCATATAGAGAATGTTTACAGACCGATTCAAACTCGTCAAGGGGAGGGTTTGAACTCGAAATCCACTTTCCAAGTGATTTTTCGATACGTACATATTTAGATGAAAAATTAGTAACGTTTTTAGCTATCCTATCATTGTTGCTTTTCCAGTTTTGATAAAAGTTGAATACCGTGCCATCTGACCAAACTAGTCGATTATTTCTGCTTATTATTGAACCAACAAAGAAGAAATCGCTTTTGAAGTTTGCAGTCATTTTGTTCACAATGAATGTGTTTTCGTCTCTGCTGTGGATTGAGGTCAAGTTTCCTCCCTTCCGCTTGCAGTAATGATAAGATTTAGTCCAGGTTTTTGGTTCATGCACTGCCAAGTAACAGGTTTGGTTATTTCTGATCCAATCTCTGCAGCAAGCTTTGCCTGTAGGGACCGCGGTGGTTGAGGGGATGGCTGTATTGGATGTGCTGGTGGACGAACCTTTGAATATGTTATGTATATAATTTTAAACTCATGTGAAATTTTTTTTTTAAACTCATGAGATACCATAGCTACATGGATACTTACTCGTCTCAAGAACTATTAAGAGGGCTTTCAACGAGTCGAGAGAAATTGGACAGAAATAAAAAATAAATAAAAAACGCCGTTTGACTTGCACTCGACATGTTGCGAAAGTCGCTCAGTTTCGACTACTTTTATTATAATATCAACTTAAATCAACCAACATGAGCGCCAAATCTTTTGTTTAAAAATGTCATTCTCTTGAATAAAATAAGTAAGTTTAACACGATATAATAGATATACTAAACTAAAATCGTTAGACTACTGCAAGATGTCCAAGTAGGCCTATATTGTAGCCATTATTAATGCTTGCTCAGTGACGCAGCTCAAATTAGTTTAATAGTTTTCTTTTCCATTCTCTTGGAAATGAGTTTAATGCTCGTTGTTGGAAGGGCTGGAATAGCTCTATGACATCGAAACAGATTGGCCAGGATTCTATTCGTTTTGTATATATTAAAAAATTCCTAATATTTTCCTAAAACGTAACGTTTTCTTACCTTTGCCCGGCGTGGCTGAATTTGTAGTTGGGCGTTTGGACGTCACTCTTTGTTTTGCACAAAGCTTCATTTCCTGGCAATATAGAAAGTAACGTTACACATGCACTCGAGTTAGAAACTATATAGACATTAATCGGAAGATGTAAGAAACTCAAGTTTAGATCAACAACTGAACATTCAATAATATACTTCATAACTCATAATTCATATAATTGGTTACTAAAGTTTCGTAAACATGCAAAGTTTCTCACCTTGTGATGTTTGAGCTGCTGGAAGAGGAAACCATAAGAATAGACAAGTTGTTTCGTCAACTCTTTCTCTTGATCCACTCCGCATCCATACAGCTCACACAAGCCGTTCTCTTTCTTCTCGTATTGATAATTATACGAAAAACACTTTGGATCATTTTGACAAGACATGATACAGCTAATCCAGTCTTGTGCAGGAAATCCATCGATCAGGTCATCTTGATTGACAACAACATGGTTCTTGACTGTATGAGGGTAGAACGATTCGGTACTGTACAAAGATAACGATATAACCAATACCAAAACAATAATCTTACAAGCTGGAAAACAACCCTTCCTTGGCCGGGCCATCTTAAAGTTTCTTGAAATACTTAGTTAACAGAGCGGCTGTGCTATTGTTGCAGGTTCATGCAATTCACATGATAAGTAGTTTTGTTCAGTCAGGAAAGCCCCGACTTTATAAGCCGTCTACACCTGTTGTTTTGCTTATTATTTAATCCTCGCATGAAGAAATCCCCTCTTTTTATCATATCAATACTTGGGTAGTATTAAAGCATAATTATTGTCATGATTATGGATAGACGGGTAATGTTCATCATATAAGTAGCTAGTAACGTGATTGGACAAACACACCCTCTCTTGTCAATATATTAATGCCCTTAGATTAATGACCTTGGTCGTTTCCACCTGTTGAGAAGTCATCAACACGAGTCAACATCAATTAGAAATAAAACTAAAAATAGACCAATTGATGGGTTGCAAGCATTCACAAGAGAGTCAAAAGACAAAAGCATGGCGGTCATTGTGGTGCCGTTAACAATAGATGCTGATGAGAAGTCTTTTGTTAAATGGCACCAATATGACGACCACCATGATGAAACGTGCAATCGAAGAATATCCTTGTATGCAAGGTCTTCCTCAAGAGACAAGAGGCATTAGGAAGAATCTAAATGGGGCCAAGACTATCACCGACTGTTTGGTGTTATTCTTGACAAAAGAGATGAGTAAGGAGGTTTTTGTAATTTCSTGATAGAGTTTCTCCCTCCTTGAATTAATTGTAGCCTTAGGCTAACTAACGTAAGCATCGTTTGTATCGTGTAATTATTAATTTACCAGACTGAGCTGAGCTGGAGGGTGAAGGCAGAATTGTTTGAGTCGATTAATAAGCAAAATAAACGAATAGACTATGTATATTTTTATGTTTTGACCGTTACTAGAAAATGCTGCTAGATGACGATGATAATGATCGTAATTTATTATTATCGGTTTTTTTTAAATCGTGTTTTTCTAAAATTTTCCAGTATGGGATCAGTTGGCGAGAAAGCTAGGTGCATGGTTGTTGTCGAACAACTTCCGTTCAAGAGGTTATTTGTTCATGTTTTCTATAGTAGCGACAAGACATTATGATGACGAGACTCTTCGTGTTAGTACTTTAGCTTACCATCTGTCTCGCTCATGCATCAACCGATCAACATGCACTCTTCTGCACAGGGGCGAATCCAGGGGAGAAGTGCAGGGGGTGCGCACCCCTCCCTGGTTCTACTTTGTGCCCCTACTTCGAAGATAACCAATACTGTTTTTTCCCTTTGATTCTATAGGGTACACCCCTTCCTGGGTTAGATTCGTGTGCAGCACCCCTCCCTGAACAAAATCTTGGATCCGCCCCTGCTGCAAGCTACACGCGGTACAACACTGTCCCAATAACAAATATCAAACTGAATATGAGAATGGACCATTTCGACGATACGGCGGCCATCTTGGAGCGTCCAGGGACAYATAAAGCTTTCTTACTGCAATAATGACGTTGACATTAACATCTCACCACAAGAGAATACAACGAAAAATGAATTRAARARAGACAAACACACGAAACTCTAGTATTTTCCGTCATTCTTTGTTTTGCTCACTGGCAAGATGGCCGCCATATCGTCGAAGTAGCCCTTTGATAAGTGATTGCCTATCTCTATATCAGATCAGTGTCAATAATACTTCACTGTGATTGGCTACTGTTAAATACATCATATACATGTGACGTTGATGTAATGATCTTGCCTACACATATCGATGTTAGTAACCTAAACTAGACTTTTGAGTTCAGTCGTGCTCCGAGTCCTGCAGTAAAGTTTACCTTGTACTTATTAGAACGAGTCGTCTCCCTCGATGCTACGGATAACAACCATACGATACTTCACCTTGGTCGTACTTCTCTATATTTATTACTAGTACTTTACTTTGGTTGGTTATCTCTATATTTTTTACATATATTTACCCGCGATTGGCTAACGGGTCATTAGTGTACTTCCCTTATGAACGGCAATACTAACGTGGGATGACATTTTACATTTACTCTATTCACAATAGCTGTTGTCTGTGGTGACTTTAGGCAGCAGCATTACTAGTTTCGTTTGTTTGTTTGTTTGTTTGTTTGTTTGTTTGTACAGAAACATAAATATAGCTCTTCGCGGAGTTCAGCATTAACTAAAGCACCTTACATCGCTTGCCAGACTTCGACTGACTAGTATTAGTACAATATAAGCAAATGATTTTCAATGTTCGAGGCCACATCGTAATAAATCAGTAAAACAATCAAATAGTCCATGCAGCAGGTTCTTGAATTGATTTAACGAAAGAATTTATCTTCTGTCGCTAGATCGTATTTACAGATGGATGGATTTTGAGTCACACACTTCCAATTCTTCCACTTTCCATCCGACTTTTTGATATTCACACAATCGTACGATTTGTAATACGATGGTTCTCCTGGAAGCCAATTGACGTAAGTAGACGAAGAGCCATCCTGCCATGTGAATGCATTATTCTTCTTAACAAGTCCAATCCAGAAGTAATCCCTGTCGAACCCAGAGCTTAGCGACACTATAAAGTCGTTCTGGTTTTGATTCAAGACTGAAGTCAGATTGCTATTCATTTTCTGGCAGTTATTGTTGGCGTCTTCCCATGTTCGAAGAGTATTTACTGCCTTGTAACATGATTTACCATGTGATAACCAACCGGTACGGCATGCTGCATGGGGACGTAAAAATATATTACTAAAAATCTAGGGCATGAAACCCCAAAACACCAAGCTGACCCGAGGGACGACGGTAAGAATGGTGCTAATTAACTAGTAAACAAAAGAAAGTGTGCAAGGAAGCCTGGTAGTGGTAGTAAATGATGCCGTCACGCAAGTGACCTATCRAACCACGAAGGACCTTGATTACAGCCCGGTCACGGGTTGAAGGGGAATAACTCACGTACTGATAGACTTTGATCTTACTTTGTTTTGGGAGAATCGTTTTGAAGTCCTTGCAGTACTGGCCATCCTGTGGCAAAGAAAAGAAAGTCGATCATCGCTACTGATCATAGATAAAACTGCAATAAAATAATAACACGTGCGATTCACTATATGTGAGCCCGAAGCACCAGGAATTTCTCAAGCAACACTTGCCCCTTTCTTCGATAATGGAAGCGAAACTGAGCAAACTCCTATTATTGCTAAAACAAATATTTAACTTAAAAGATTAAACTGCCCAATAAATTTGGCGTCTATCTGATTTGAGTATTTGAGATATATGGGTTGTCAGGTGGATTGTGGAATGTTTTCTGCAGCTGGTCAAAGTAACTCAGTTCACAGTGTTGACGCATGCGTATGACTGACAATGATAATCAATCCTGATCAATCGGCAAATAGCGGGATCGAAGGGGCAAAAAGAAGACGCAATTTTCTATACTTCAGCGAAAAATAAATGCTAATTAACCATATTTTTAAGCTACAAAGATCTGATTAAAGCAAAATAAGCAGCAAGAAAGTGAAAAAGATGAAAATATGTTCTTTCATCACGTGTGTAACGGCTAGTAGACGGGTGTYTTACATCAAACCTGACCGTTTTATCGCCGAATTGATGACAAAAGTATCAATATCGTGTAAATATTTCTATACACTATCAGAATAACAGTCGACACCAATGCAAGCCAAATGACGAATAGCTAGAGCTACCGTTAAATATTCAAGAAGAAGACGCGGAGATCCTGCAGCGGACCTCTAGGCAGAAGGCAGCGCACTATGAACTGAGCTACGCCTAGTGCTCCATGACGTTCCATACTCGAAGTAGTCCATTCTTTAGCTTAATATATTAAAGTACATCCAATATCCAATTTCATAATTTAAATGTGGAAATTTAATTTCCTGAAATCCCTTGAATTGTTAGTTCATTTAGTACTTGAAGCTCACTCTAGGTTTCCTGGTCAAGGAAGTACAGTCCTACTCTCTTACGCTGATGCGCTCGCACTTGAGAATTTAGCTTTGAAAGTAGTTCTAAAAAACATTTTGTAATTAGCTAGGATATTTTTTTACAACAGCCTATAAAAAATGTATTTAACATTTGAAAAGTTCTTTCGGTTATTTAATAACATGAGTTTTTGATTCCAACTCACCTCAGCAACTTTCAACTGTTGAAAAAAGATGCCACTTGAGTAGTAAAGGCTTCGCTTGTAGTCCTTACTTTGGTCCAATCCACATTTGTACAGCTCACATAGTGCTCCTTCTACCCGTTTTTGTCTATGCCGATAGTTATACGACAAGCATTCGACATGATTTTGACATTTTGTAATACACTTTAACCAGTCGCTGATCTTAAAACGAACGAGCAAATGCTGTTTGCTAACCACAGCATAATTCTGAATCGTCATGGGCCGAAAACCACAAGCGAAGCGTCTCGAGACGTTGACCATTAAGAATGAAATAACGAAGAAAAACCCTGAGTAAGAAAGCATTATTGGTTTTGAGCAGTAATTTGCTCTACTGAAGATTTTTCTACCGCAGTGAATGTGATATTCGACGTGTTTGGGTTTATGAATATTACTGAAGTTGAGTTAAACCAGCTGCTCGTGCATTTGCTTTGATGAGCTGCGGGTGGTTGAYCAAGTCAGTCCGGCAAAAGAATATTTTTATATCTTCAAAAGCGCGTAAAATAGAAAAGCTTTCCCATTAATTGATGACAATTTACGAGGAAACTATAGAAAGGATGTGTTTCGGAAACCGTTATTATCAATGCACTTTTGAAGGGATAACCAACTTGCCTTCTTGAATGATCTATCGGCTTTAAAAGAAGAACAAATGATTTAACTGAATTATTTACTAGTTCCGCTACTTCTCTTAAGAGAAGCAGTTTAAATTCGCGGCAAATTCTTTCATCGCTTTATTGAACTATTTCCTCAGAGTGCTAATTTCCATTGAAGATATTCCCCTTCATGGCATGGCCCTGGCCAATAAGCCACTTTATTTATGACGTGTTCCCATGGTTACGTCTAATGATCCAATTTTACATCGAGACCGAAAGTATCTTGATACAGCTATGATTTAAATGATCAAATTAAAACAACTGATATTGATTGTTTGCTTGCGAGGATAATGGCCTATTTTTGTAGCTATCTTAAAATTCGTTAGAAATAACAGATTATTTACACGGCGCTCCAAATGAAATTGTTCAATGAAGATGGGCGCTCAGCACTAAACCTTAGCACCTTTGGGGCGGCTAGAACAGTAGGGATAGAGACATTAGTACAGGAAGAAATAGACAAGAGACAGAAAGAACGAAAGCTAGGAACACTTTCAATGGATTATTTTGAACGCGAATTAAAGGAAATTTCCGTTGTTGCGTCTAGGATATATTTTGTTTCCCATCGAAACGTTTAAAATGACAAAAGCTTGCTCTCATTTATTCCTTTTTTATTGACAACTCAGTGAGAGTTTTTTTTTTTTTTTTKTWTTATTAATATCATTCTAGAACCAAAGGATTGGACTTCCTGTGGTATAGATATTTAACTAAAGAAAGACCAAGAGAAAATGAACTAACTTAGTTTATAAAAAGATATAACTAGCTAAAAACTAGTGTGAGCTGCGTCGGTGTTTCTAATGAAACAGTAATGATGAAAAGGTAAATTATACAGCGTGAAAAGATGAAAAAACTTACTGACGTTTCGGACGCTAGTCCTTCGTCGGAGTAAAAGAGGAAGGACTAGCGACTCCGACGAAGGACTAGCGCCCGAAACGTCAGTAAGTTTTTCCATCTTTTCACGGTGTATAATTTACCTTTTCATCATTACTGTTAACTTAGCTTATATTCTCTTGGAAAGACTCATTGATCCTTTACTGGCTAAGCAGAAACATTTAGACATTATTAGGAATGAAGGCTGGAATAGCCACTTGTACACTTAAAGAATGATTTCAAATTCAAGGAAATTTGAAGTATTTAATCTTAGTCGGGATATATACTTATTTCAATAAAGTTAGTCACCAAAAACCTAGAAAGCTGTGATCGCTGAGAATCATGGGAAATATTTCTTGACACAAACTGCAGCAGTTGAGGATGCTCAGAGGAGGTGAACTCGTAACTGGTAGAAGATCTCAAGTCTATCAACAGTTATCAAGCGCTTACTGTGACATGTAAAATATATCTACCCATAATCCTTGTTGGTCTCAGCTTTGTAGCTTTTCTGGTGACTAACGTTATTGAAATAAGTGTATGACTGTATTATATCAAAAAGATACTTTTACACTATGGGCTTCCTGTGTCTTTTTCCATGCTTTATTTCCTTATTAAAAAGGAAAAAAAATCATAAAGTAGACGGGAACTCTGATGAATGAATAGCTTGCTTTTCAAGAATTTGATGAGTCATTGTGGGTAAGACTAACGTACATGACTTCTGACATGTTTCTTCTTACAACTTCCCATTTATGACGTCACTGTACCTATTTATAAATATTGAAACTCGTTCCCATTCCTACTCATCTAYACAGTCGAAAACTTTGAACTCGAGAAGAGAAAAAAGACACGAGAAAAATACCGGTAATATGGCTCCCAGTAAAGATAGCCATCAACTGAGCTCACAATGGCAAACCTTGGAAGAAAAAGAATCTCCGACAGAGAAAATGATGAGGAAAAGTAGAGATCAACCGTTTATTCCAATCGGTAAGAAATACTTCTTGGTTCGCCGGTATTTCGCAAGGTTAACACTACGGTGAAAAACTAAAAAAAAATTCTTGACAGACTCTCGTAGTTTTAGACTGATTTTTTGAGAAAAAAGCGAATTTTATGCTAGAACTTGAATGTCAAACATGAATTAAACAATTTGGAAAATGTAAAGATCATTTAAAACCATCGAACGCTTTCAATATTTCGAAATATAAATATTATGTAAAATTTGGAAACCAAAGCTTTATTGACACTTTTATTCGCAAAATATTAATCATTTTTGATGGTTTAAACCTTTCTAGGTTTCCAGTTTTTTCTGAATTGTATTTAAGATTTTTTTTTTGTTTATTCCGTATTCTCGAGAACTTCACCTTCACACGTGCGGGATGACACGACTTTTACGTCCAAAAATGCAATCATGATGCACTAGAGTGCAAACGATATAACCGTGAAGCTTTAGTAATACTAAATAGCACAATTTCATGCAAATTCCATTGTTTTCTATTGTTTAATTAGCACTATTTTGTACTATTTAGTAATTAGTATTTCACGGATTAATTGTTTGCACTCTAGTATTAATATAACTAATAGAGTAATTATTCTTGATCAATCTTATTTATATTTTCAAATATCTATTAATATTATTTTTCAGACGTATGTATTAATTTTATTGTAGTTAGCAGTATTTAATTGTAAGAAGAGATAACTAGTTAAAAACTAGTGTGAGCTGCGTCTCGGTGTTTCTAATGAAGCAGTATTTAGTAGTAAGAAGAGATAACTAGTTAAAAACTAGTGTGAGCTGTGTCGGAAACAGTATGAAGCAGTATTTAGTAGTATTTAGTATGATATTTTACTGATTTAGATTTTTGAATGTTGTCTCTATACAGGAATAGTTGGGCTGGTTGGGGCATGCGTGTGGGGTGCAATAGCTTATAGGCACAGAGGACCCATGAGCACTAGTCGCTACTTGATGAGACTAAGAGTTATTGCACAAAGCTGTGTGGTGGGGTCTATAATGGTTGGCCTAGGTGTGACAGCCCTTCAAGATTCAGGAAAAAAGGAAAAATAGTTAATAGAGAAACTGTTATATATCTGCGTCATAGCTAATCACAGCTCAGATGGCTCATTTGCCTCTGCAGTGCAAGGAATGTGGCCAGAAAAACTCACTACAGATTGGTATACATTTGTAATTTAGAGGTGAAACCCTACTAAAGGGTGAACTGTACATTAGGCATTGACCTATGATGAGATATAATTCAATGTCTTAAAGATTTTATGTGGTTAGTAACACAACTTGATGTAACAAGAACTTTTATTTATCAAAAAGGATTGTTTAAAAGTAAAAATTAATTTCTCAAAAAAGTGTATAAAAGTAATGCAATTGTTGTGTATTTAACTGCATGAGAAATGAATAATCAGGAATAATGTGTGAGGTTCAAAATTATCACCACTTTTAATGTATTCACATACTTTTGTCCTGTTAGATCAGAAATATGAGACTACTGCAACAGGGCTGTCAACCCCCGAGATATTCAAATCTAGAGAATTGATAGGGAAGGGACATGACGTCACAGCGCGTCAAAAAGCGTGCAAAAAGACATCTTTTGCTTTCTAACATTTGATGTGATTGGTTTATTTCTGACCAATCAGATTATCGCTTATATTACAATGGCCTGCTTGCAAGAGAGTTTATGAGGACTGTTTTGATTTTGTTAGCGATGTAAAATAACACAAACRACATGAAATAATTGGAATTTTATGGTTGTGAAAGTCTAGTCTCACAAGACAAGAAATGGTCAGCTTCGGGGATTATCCAGGAGATTTGAAACTCTAATCTGGAGACTGGGAGACACGGTCCAAAATCTGGAGACTCCCGGTTTATCCGGGAGAGTTGACAGCCCCGTGCAAATTATGTGATTGAATAATGGCTGAGAAGAAAATATGCAAATAGATTATCAGTGCTCATACTTTTGACTATTGTGCTGTAACAGAAATAAAGACAACTCTAGGGAAAGGTTGAGGATTGAGGTCATGTGATTGAATCTTGATCTGAGATAGTAAACATGGTGCATTGTGGGCTAGTTTGAGTACAAGGCATCAGCAAGCTTTATATACGTGTACCATAGTTGAACTGAAGCCAGACAACAATGCACCATCTTTATTGTGCATCATTTTTATATTCCCATGATGCATTTCATTGTTCAAATCTTGCAGATGGTGCCTTGAGGTAGTGTGTACTGCTAAAGCATTACCTCTTCATCAGTGCGACCCAGTTTAGAATCCTGCTGGGATTGGTGTGGTATGTTCTCTCCATGTGCTTTGAGGGTTTTTTTCTGGGTTGTCAGTTTTTCCTCACTAGCAACAATCAACTTTCAAATTGAACAGTAATTATTGAGGGTCAGATGGGAAACATCACTAGAACTGTACTTTATCTGTTATAACCTTGTAAAATTAGGTGTATTATTTATTTATACTTCAATGTATCCTATTAGGGTCTTTTCTGCAGTTTTCCACTCCATGAACACTGGAACCATGTTCTCAAGGTTTGAATCCCTTCTGCACATGATCAGTGAATACCACTGGATATCGTAACATGGTCATAACAGGTTTGCAGTATTTTTCCACCACAACAATCTGTTGTCTATTAAGCGTTCTTCGCCAGGAGTCTGCGAGATGCGAGATATTCACTCTTTCAGTAGAATAATCATAGTTCTTTTTTCTTACTGCTGTGTTTTCAGCATGTGTGCTTCGCTGAAGCCATCGAGTGACGTCATCTGAGCTACGAAACTGAGCAAACTTCATGACGTCATCAGTCTTTGTCGTGATTTGCTGAACAAGATCTTCATACCGCACAAGTTTATATCTTCCAAGAAGTTTTCTTTCTGCTTCCAGAATAAATTTTATGGTATCAAGCAACGAGAAACAAAACCTTTTTACTCGTTGTTCAAAATCATGAAAAGAGGTTCGTATGAAAGTCTGCTTTGAGTTGAATTGAGTGTAGGATTGAATCCATCCTACTCTCTCCATCGAGGCTACGATAGCCCTTGGGTCACGCACCAGCTGTAATATCTTAACATTCACCTCTGATTTCATCAAAGGTTTGAAAAAATTGACTTTAAAATTAGGAATGCGATGAGTCAGCAATTTTATCACTCGATGTTTATGAGTGGAACACACCCTGCTTGTCTCCCAAGGATCTAACGGCTTACAAAAATATCGCACGGTTTTTCCAAATTTGGTATCTGTTTGATTTGGGGCGCAAAACGGAACAGTTAAAGACCTACTGGAGTATCGATGGTGAGGTAAATGATTCAAGAAACCCATATATTCTTCTTGGTTCTTAAAGTTGCAATTCAGGATGTCGTCGAGGAGTCGAAGCGCGCTCGATTCGTAGAAATTAGACTGATCAAGAGTAGTGACTTTCATGATGTAAAATGGTTCGTACATGTAGAACACGTCAGGATGATGGTTGAATATCTGGCCAAGGAATGATGAACCTGACCTTGAATGAGACAAGATGATCAAGTTTGTCCTGGTTTGTTTATCGATGTCTTTGCTTATGTAACCCATTTCTATGGAGCGTTTCGTAAACGACGAGAAAAGACGAAACAATTTAGAACTTGTGTGGAGGAAGACATTAGATGTGAGGATATCTACAGCTACGATGATCAGTATCAATAGAATTCTACCCCCTCTCGTGTTAGAGACCCGACGAGCCATACGATAAGGATAGTCGTTTTGCTCGTAGGTGTTGTGTTGGTCAACGCCAAAGCACATYGATTCAAAGGATAGCACTTTCTAGATAATATTTCCCATTAATCTTGCAGCATAGATCCAAGTGCCTTTACTTGATGTAGGAGAAAAATCGAGCTACAAGTAGGCAACGTACATAAATTCGTAGCAAAGTAAATACCCTAATTCAAGAGTACAGAATTGAGATGCACTGCAGTTATTTGATCCCATGCATTATCTATATTATACCACGGCATTCTACCACATTCGTCAGTCTTTGCAACCGGTGTTCGGAGTGGTCCCATACGTTTTCAGTGGAGTCAATATCAATGTACTTATTTTCTGTTCTTCAGTCACACCCGATAACTGGATGAATTCTCTCTCTGTGAGCAGCTTGTTCGATTGATCACTCAAGTGAGAAATATCCTTGAATAAAAATTWAAAAAAAAAAAAAAAATTGAAAAAATAATATAATTATTGTATTCTGGAAAAAAACCAGATTAATAAACTAAACTGAAAATTCTATGAAAAAATTTTAAATCAATTTTTAAAAGTAATCGACTGATCAAAGCCAGTTCGATAAGGCTAAGAATCTAATTTATGGAACCATATTTCAAGTTAAATTGATACAGGTAAACTAGTGTCTACAAAAAGAAACAAACATCCTACGGGTGACTAATATGGAGGGATATAACTTCCCACAGCCATCGTTTGTGTTTTTCACTTTAAATTAGAGGGGATTTGCAACTACTAGGTTTACAGTAAAATCATCAGAAATTATCGCGAATATTTTCGGGAGATATTTTGCTAATTTGACAACAGTTTTTCAATTCAAAATGAAATTCTATATTGAATGCAAAAAATGAGAAAAAGATAAAATAATTAATCTAAATAGCTATTTTCTTACCTTGTTTTCAAATAAAAAAGTGTTTTTCGTTATTTTTTTTACTGGGATACGTTAAGCGGGATAATGATCAATACAGCACGATAAATGAGAAAATGACGGCTGATCATCGGGGAACATATTTGTGCAATGACGCGCAGTTTGCTTGTACCATTAACTTGCTTGCTCAACCATGTTGTAAAACAATAAGGAAGTCAGAACTGACTGTTCATCACGAACTTTGATTAATTGGTCTGTAAATAAGCTTTCATTGTAGACTGGCAGACCAGTGCCGTGGAATGACCTGTTCTTTTCAACAACGCGGGTGATTTACCAATTTTATTATGGAAGTTCGCGGGAAAAACTCGCTTGTTTAAGCCAAAAATAAAAATGATAAGACGAAGAAAATATTAATAAAATAAAGTAAAAGACTTGCAAGGAAACAAAATTAGCCTTTCCCCCAGCGAAAGTTACTTTAGCGGGAAAAAAATGAAAGGACGCCTCTTTTCTCAAGCTAGCACAAAATAAGAGCAAGATTTCAAACAAAAACATGAAGAAAACGATAAAATTACGGAGAAAAAAATTGTACGTAGAATATGACCGCTGGACAGCGAGGCTACATAGCAATATCCCAAGAAGCTTAGCGCGAGTCTCATTTAGCGCTAATTATGACGTCACTAAAGGTAATTGCATAAACTTACATTCTTTTTAGTGCTGTTTTACTTTTTCACTTATTTATAAAAAGTAATACTGATAATGATAACTTTATTTACAGAGGGTAAAAACGCTTTAGAGTTAAAAACTGACAAACTAGTGGCCCTCGAGTAATGGGTTCCAGCCTATCGTATAACTGTTGCTCTGGTGTTCTTGATCTGTCTTATTTCAAGGTGAGAAAACTGTTATCAAGTTTACATATGAAACATTGAAAACGAAGAGTCACAATGAAGTTTGTTCCATTCATAGAGACCTGGTACTTCTACACATATCACGAATCCCTCTCACCAAAAGTACATCTGGAACCAATCATTCATTAGTGAAGGTGAATAGGGAAAAGTACGAAGTATTTGGCCCGACTCGCTTTTCAACACCTTGGACGTTGATTTAAACTCTACTGCACATCTCTCACTGCTTTACTAGAAATCACTAAACGGCGTTTTTCGTTGCGCATCCGTTGTCGATGTCCCAGAGACCACTGCGCGGGTATTTTGGTTGTTTGTCATTGGTGTCCAAAGAACCACTGCGCGTATGAGGTGCGCATCTTTCTTTAATGACCCAGAAACCACTGCGCGCAAATTTTGGTTGCGCACCTATCGTTGGTCGCCCACGAACCACTGCGCGCAAATTTTGGTTGCGGATCTATAGTTGGTGCCCAGAAACCAATGCGCGTATTGGATGTGTTTCTGACCAGATTGTCATTCTCATCTGTCACTATTTTCTTTTCTTTACACAGGATCATCAGTGTCGGATATCAGAGTGAGTGACACGTTCTTCACTGTCAGCCTGATTGACGTACATCCTGTCTTTAATTACGCTTCCACGTGACTTGCACTAAAACAGAGCGCTATTGGAAGAACCACCAGCTGAGGAACCATAAACTTGTATCTAGGTAGTCGTTATTCATCAATAAATAAACCAATCAAACTTGCCAAAAGAACACACATTATTTTAGTTCATGATTACAAATCTTGCTCGTTTATTCATTTTTAAACGAATAATAGCCATTATAAGGTAAAGCATTTATGTCGTTGATATTGTGAAACCAGAGACTTGATTCTCATCGTATGCAGTGTCGTACACTTGATTGAAAACAACTTGAACATCGAGCAGCTAATAGTGAATAAAATGGGCCGAATTGTCGATAAAGTTTAAGAGGCAAAACAAATGAGGAATATTGCGAAGTTCCAATCGTTTCTCTGAAGGAACGCATTAATATTTTTCACTTTTCTTATCCCACGTTGAGATTTGCGTCGTTTGTTTAGGCAGAATTAACTAAAAATTAACGCAGAATATATAAAAAAATGTTTGGTGTTATGGGGACGGGATCTTGGCCCTACATACGGGTCTTAGCTTCTTGAGTGCATCAGTATATCGTGTTCCTTTCTTGCTCGTTGGATGTCCTTGAGTTCCACCAACAGATTTTCAAAATCTACCAGTAACTGTTCAGTCAGGGATAGCATGTCATTTTGACCAGACATATTGAGGAAAGAATCAAAAAGTTTTATCCATAGCTTCGTATTCCAGTGGCTGTTTTGGAAGAAAAAATATTAGAATTAAAACGTGCAATTATTATAATATAAGTTCCGGGTGCTATTATCACTATTCCACGGTTTCCGTAAAGCAATGCGCTTCGTATCTGCCTTCCTTGGTCTAAATGCTTAAAGAAAAAAGCTTGTCATTGTTCTATTGACGACTCTTAAAACTCTAGTATGTGCGGGCTTAGCCTCATCTGAGGTCGGTAAACAAAAGCAGAAATCAGAATAACAAAACAAGCAACTCCTGGATTCGAGGCTAAGCCCGCATAAACCGGAGTTTTAAAGAGTCATCGATTCGGGGCATACAGCACACGAATGACGGTTATAACGTCTTCTCACCGTTTGAAACTCTTGTTCTGTTTCCATCTACCATCTGTTTGGTGTTCCTTCATGTATTCTCCATGGATCAGACAGTACAATGTTCCTAGTAGACCATACGTGTCCACCTATCATCAAACACATACATGCACGTGCTGTTACACTATACAATCTTCACTGACCAATGCACAGTGTAACAGGGGTTGTCTCGGAATTTTTATGTTGCGCGTGGCGTTGCACGAAGTAAAACTCGGTTCTACTTTTCGTAAAGCATTGCAGTAACGCCAATTGCGCTGTTTATGGCCCTTACCCGCCCCCCCCCCCCCCAACAACTTTTCTCACAATTTTAAGGCATATTTTTCAAGAGCGCATGTGCAGATTTCTCTTTTTTTTCCGGAGAAGCCGAAAGATGTTGCAAGTTGCCGAGATCGCGTTGCAGTGTAACAACTCACCTCGGCAACTTGCGACGCTACATTTTCAAGCATTGCGACACAAGTTGTTGAGAAAATTACAGTGAACAATCTTAACTTTCAAATCGATTTATCAACGATTGGGTTACCTGTGTAGTCCAAGGTTTTTGGGTCTTCATCTCAATACACTGGAATCCATCGGTATAGCAGTTGACGTTGAATGACGTCCCAGGCGGGAATAACTGAAGGTCAATACTACGACCAAAGTCAATCAACTTGAGGTCCATACCATCTTTGAATGACTCGCTACAACGATTCAATGAAGATAAACAGCACGGTGAAAAATTGCTTCATCCGTTTCTACAGAGTTCTGAGACTAGTGACGAGCTGTGTTTAGGGAATTTTAGGGTTTATTGATTGCGTAATGTGCGAAAAAAAAAAAGAAGAAGAAGAAGAAGAAGAAAATTATGTCTGAAAAAAAAAGACATTGCGCATGTTCCTTGGGTTGCCGTGTCCCAGCATTATGATTGGACGACCAGCAAAGCCCGCACTGCCTTTTTCTTCAGATTCGTCAGATACTGTGTAGTTGTTTGTGGCGAATTAAAATCTTGTCTCACAAACAACTACACATTATCTGTTTTAAAAGATACTACAAGGATTATGAGGCATATTCTTTTATTTTCAAAGGACAGTAAAAATAGAATAGAGGCTATGCACCATCACGTGATGGCAGCCATGACAGGAGGCAGGAACAAATTAATCTGGTCTAAGATGATTTGCATGAGAAAGAATTCACTTTCTCAGGAAAAAAATGCTCTATTGTTCCTGCTTCCTGTCATGGCTGCCATCACGTGATGTTGCAAAGCCTCTATAATCAATTTTTAGCAACTGTAACTATGGTGAGCCGAACCATGAATGGCTGGTGTGGTCTAGGTTATATATCAAATATATTAATATTCACCTATCCAGAACGAGAATGTTGTCTGGTTTAAAGTCCCCATGTATAATATTACAGCGATGCATCGTTATAAGCATGCGCAATAGACTAATGGCAAAGAGAACAGCTACTCTTTCATCRATGGTCTTTCCTGACGTCTTGTACTTGTTGGCCACGTCCTGAAACAATTTCAGAACTTTGTGATAAGGTTTTGTTTTCCTATGACACACCAGAACACAGCCTAATTTTCTCAGCAACTTTATGATTATTTAAAGCGTAAAACGTACAATAAAAGAAAAGCATTGCGCGCGCACTGAACACGTGCTCAGGTCGAATTTGGTCTACAGAGGGTGCAAATAGAGGTGGACTTGAAGCGATGCCCTGTCTTGTCTTATAGTATACAAACGAACAACAAACAAACCATCCCATGAAGGAACACTATATAAGGTGAAGGTTCTTACCAGAAGGGTTACAGCACGGTCATACCGGTCCAYCAATACTGAACCATCAATATAGTTGTATATATCACTGGGGTTCATGAATAATGCATGCTGTTGAACACAACAGAAGATGAAGTGGTGAAGAATGAATTGAGTAAAAGGAGGAAAATAACAACAAGAATAAGGGAAAAGAAGATATTGAAAACAAGAGGAAAGGAGATAGAGATAATGATAATAAAACAAGGGAAAAAAGAAAGGGAAGATGATAGCAAATGGCAATATGAAGGAGAATGAGGAGAAAAGAGTAACAGATACAAGCATGACTAATAAGTATACCATATTTCTTGCATATTCCATCTGATCAATTCTTGTGTGCAGCTGACGACACAYGTAGAATTCCCAGTCATTAGGGGTCTTTTGTACCTGTTGTAAAGAATACTGATGTAAGCATGATGAAATTTCCATACTAATATGCTGTATTTTGTGTGTATGATGGTGTAGTAGTGCAGAGTCATAACTTGCCTTGAGCGTCACTTCATTTTCGTCACTGAAATCATCAGAAGATAAATGAGCATTTAGTTTGACTGCACAGAAGACTTTGGAGAAAGCACCAGTTCCTATACACCGCTCTACTTGATAGAGATCATCATCACCTGAGGTACAAATTCAAGAACAAATCTTAGCTCATTAAATCCTCTAGTTAGACAATGAGTTAAAGTGTTACGAATAAATATGACCACAGTGCTTGATGACTGGAGTGTTGATGTCATGCAGTGTGCTGATGCACTGTTTTCTACTCTCCTGAATAACACATACATTACATCTAATATAACCTTGCGTACCTAGGTTGACAGCGAGATTTGGAGCTATCTTGGGAATCTGGTATTTTTGAGAACTGTAATATCCATCATATGACGAGACAGAAGGTACGACACGAAGTAGCAATGCTTGTACCACCTCATCACTGAACGGATTCAAGTCAGTTGTGCCATCTTTGTTATTAGCTTGCCTTACTATAGAATGGTTACCATGGTTATGTGTTTGGTCTTTGGAAATATAAGTTAATTGGCTGGCAGTAGGAGGCATGTGATGTGATACACTACCTCGACCAGAGACAGTAGACGATGAAGAGCCAGTTGTTGACCTRGTGTCTTCATCACTTCTTTCAAATATTGGACTCAAGACCTTATTTGGTGTGCAACTGAATGTGTTAGCGATGTATTCCTCTGTAACATGTGCAGAAGCAAAGTCTATTTCTAATTGGGGGTTTATCGTGCTCACTGAGAATGAAGGTGGTTCTAAACCTTGAGAGAAAGGCGTCGATGCCATGTGAGCGGCCATCTTGAAACTAGATGTCACCATGAAGGCATTAGCATCTTCAGTAACATCTCGTAGTGTTTTGTTGTATTGTTCAGCCTGTGGTGGCAGGTTTTCAACATCTTCATCATCCATGTCTTCATCTTTTTCTTCCTCTATAGGGCACACAGGGATCCCAACAGAAGGCTGCAGAACACCGAACACGGGCCGCTTTGATTTTTCTTGGACATAATCACTAGGCGGCCTGAGGGTCAAACACCATGGATTAAATGAAAAACAATCTTTATAAATTAAGACGGAGAAAAACTATATACATGCAATATGAAATAAAGAATGAGTAAAAAGAAATAAACAAACTGGAGTACATACCGGTTTTCTTGGTTTTCATCATATATTTCTATTTTATCTCCATGACCTTGTTTATCAGGTTCTGAATCAACGTACGGAGTAAAGCTGGCTACTGCAGAACAAAACACACCAGAAATTTGTCTATGATTCCAAGACCACAATCTGTGGTCTACTCAGTTTTTTGCATCCATCAATCAGAAATTGACAAATTGTAGACTGCTTATGTTTGATTGACAGAAGCCAAATCAATAGAAAAATGAAACATTTAAAGCTGTGTAACACACCAACTTACCTTGCATTCCAAAAAGCCCTGCTCCTAAGTTCTCAGTCCTGTTATCATTACAGAAAGCTGCTTCAAAATCTTTGTCAGGTGCAGCTATCTGTTGTCTGTTCATCCATGGTAGGTCATCATTACTATCCACACCCAGTGGATTGTTAAACATTGCTAATACTGCTTCTTGTGCGGCTCTGGTGTTTACAGTAGGCGATGGATAGTATTTATCCACAGAACCCGGAGTATGACTACCGAAGCGATCAACCACACTCTTATTTCCAGGTGTAACTGGGTGAAATGCCGATTGTTGATTCAGGGCACTAAAAATATTGCTAGTAGGTGTCATGGAAGTGTGCTGTTGTTGCATCTCTGTTGTCATGGCGACAGGCATTCTGTTGCCTTGGCAACTGGTACTGACTGCTGTACATGGTTCCTCATGAGGTACTGCCCGTTCTTTTAATGTTTGTCGTACCTGCAATCCTTTGGATACAGGATGGAAGGCGGAAGATGTGCTATCAGCAGTAGGCATGGCATTGTCGGCAATTGTATTTGGAAACTCATTGTTGTAGATTTTATCTTTTAAAACCAACTGGCCTGAAAAGGTGAAATAAGTATTCAATGATTGCAAACAACAAGTAAAGTCAACTCTCCCCTTGCAGGAGCAAAATAGGATAGAAGCAAAATCCCTGGCAAAAAATACTGACAAAAAATGACTGTAATTAATCCTTGCAGTCCCAGACACTCTATTATGGACACCAAGTCCTGAGAGTGTCACTTTTAAATAGAGTTGACAGCACTCTAACTTTTAAAAGATATTGGTCTGAGAATATAGCAACCTCTCTTTGTCTGTGATTCGTCCATGCTATTCTATGGTATGGTTTACTTTACCTTCTGCGCTGGCATCAGTGAATGACAGCCCTCTTCTTGCAGTGTGATTTTCACTGTGAAAAAATGTATAAAGATCAACAATTAAGTATCTGAATGAATTGAATAAATGAATGAGCAGGTTAGGTAGATTGAAGAATGGAAGAAAGAAGTAATGGATGAATAGATAGAGGAATGAGAGTCTATTTTACCTATTGTTTTCTTGGTCATTATATACTTGGAAACCAGATTTAACCTGATTATTACCAGCTAGATTTCTGGCTTTTTCATCATACACTTGAAACCCTGATGTCATTTGACTATTACCAGCAACATTTGCAGTTTCTTCATCGTACACTTGAAACCCTGATGTCATTTGACCATTACCAGCAGGACGTCCAGTTTCTTCATCGTACACTTGGAACCTTGATGCAACCTGACCATTACCAGCAGGACGTCCAGTTTCTTCATCNTGACCATTACCAGCAGGACGTCCAGTTTCTTCATCGTACACTTGGAACCTTGATGCAACCTGACCATTACCAGCAGGACGTCCAGTTTCTTCATCGTACACTTGGAACCTTGATGCAACCTGACCATTACCAGCAAGATTTCCAGTTTCTTCATCATACACTTGGAACCCTGATCCAGTAGGAACATTAAGAGCTGGTGTTGGTTTTATATCTTGGCAGTCCATTGGTTCAACATTCTCATCAGACATATTTGTGTCACTGTCAATCATGGTATTTGTACGAACCTAAACCCAAGAATGATATAAAATGAATTATGGAAAATTAAATTCTGGAGAAAAATAAACAAGTTTTCTGTCTAAGAATAAGCAGTTTAGCCGTCTTTTTGTTTACAAATTGTAAGTTACCAAGTAACCATAGCAACCAACCTGTTGTGTCATAGCAGCTCTGCTTTGAACCCTTTCTTGCCTTGCTTTTTTATATTTGAAGTATCGTTTTAATAGGACTTCATCAAGAGGCCGTTCTTCATCAAATGTGTACACTTCATTTTTAGGATACATAACTTTGTACTTTCTTTCATCCTGGTTTTCTTGTGCGGGGTACAGAATTGACCAGGGTCTTCCAGCAAGACGGGACAACATACGAGCTGCTCGGAGCTGTTCAAATGAGAATTCTCTGGCTCCAGTGTAGATCTTGTCTTTACAGTACATCACCTTGAACTTTTTATCTTCATTATCTCCCTACAGTGAGAGAATTGTGTCAATATAGCTCCCTGATTTAAAAAAACACAATATCAGGAATGTTCACTTGTTTTTGGCTTGTAAACTGACAAATAGAAAAGGATGACAAGAGTCTGTGCAATAGATTATTACAAACAAGCAATCTTTGGTTAGTCATTATTACAGTGCAACTACTATAACCTGGGCAACATAGACAGTAAAAAAAAATTGTAGAATGAAAAAGCTTTGCATTGATTGTCGAGCCAATCAGAAACCATCAGAAAACAATAGCTGCCAAAGATATTTTTCATTCCCATGAGAAATGATGATGGCCATCTAAAAAGACCCGTCCTTTTTTCATGAGGGTAGCACTAATAACCAGTGACTAACAAACCTGTGGCCCTCATGCTATGCCACCTGTGCTTCTAGTTGTTTACATGCAACATCAGGGTCAAATAAATAAATTATTACAATTCTCATGCAGTCTAGGTTTCTGATTGGCTTTAATACCCAAAGTTGGAATGCACTGTTTTCATTGCACATTTTAATTGGCTCTCTTGTCTAACTGTCTAAGTGGCCCARCTACAGTACTTGTACTGTTAGGTATATTCACACCTTGGCAAAATTTTTCAGTAGCTCACTGGTAGAATCTTTTTCAGGTTTTCTGGAGCTAAGCACCTTGTCCATCACGACATGTCCATGTTGAGGAGTGCATGGTGGATTGTTAAGTATTTCATCATCAATGTGAACAGAAAAAGACGGTTTTGTACCAACATTATCAACTGGAATGGATCTTTGATGTTTCTGAGGAAGCTACAGTATGAAAAGAGAAATGATATAAAGATGTTAGGAACTTCAAGAAAAATGGAACAAATTATGGCTGCTTGAAATTATTGTTCATGAAAGGCCTTACTATGATAATAATTTGATTACCTTAGATTCAGTCCATTTGCCTGGTTTTTGAGTGTTCTCTTTAGTAGTGATAGGTTTAGTAGGAGGGACCTGCCACTCGCCTGTAGGGTGAGGAAGACTGCTCATTCCAGACATGTTGTCATCTTCACAGAACACTGTGAAACCAGCACTGTTGGAATTACCAGACATTTTGGAATAGCCAAGACCACCAACTTTATTGGCTAAATGAAAAAGGTTTCAAGGATGAACAATATATCTTATTCTTGACATCAATGTCAGAAACCTGGACTAGACATGGGTTTCAGGGATTTTCAGTTCAGAGGTTACTGGTAACGAAAACAAATTCATACACAATATTCAAGCTTCAAAACCAGAGTTTCTTAAGGTTGTTATAATTTTAAAGGAAATCCTGGGTAGGCATAGGGCAAATTTTCACAACAAAAGAAGATGCCCTAATCTGCTAAAGTTATGAGGCCACAGGGATGATAATTGATCCTGAGGGAGATTATCTTCAAAAAGCTAGACAGTGATCTTACATAGAGTAGCATTTCCAGTCCTCTTCACTCCTACTGTGCCTTTCTTTCCATGGCTCTTTAGACCTCCTAGTGCCGTTCTCTGTGTTTCATTTTCATTGTTAAAGTTCTGTACAGTATCTCTGGTCACATTCTCTGCAAGACGCCTTTCAAATGCCCTATGATTAATTAACAGATCGTTAGGCTATGCTCTAGCATCAGATTCTATTTATAACCCCAGTATCACATGCAAGTAGATTTTATTAAGTCTCTCCCTTGATTCAAAGGTTTTCTCTAGGCTCTCTAGTTTTCCTCTCTCGCCAAGATCTAACATGCTAAATTCCAATTCTATCTGTGAGCTAGCCATGTCCTGACTTAGATAAGCCCAGATGTCATTTCAGGGTTTACATGTACTAACATTTAAAGGGATTATCGCTCAACCATCATAAGCTACATTACTCATACAGAATACCTGTGTTGCCGCTGTAGTACTTCTAATGGCTGTGCGTTGTTGGATATACCAAGACAGTATACTTCATCAGCTTTCTTCATATTTCCTAATTCCTCAAGAGCACAAGCCCAGGCTTTATAGAAATTTCCAAGCTGGCTACAGACACTTTGGCTGTGCATGTATTCATATACGTCCATTGGATCTGAGGAAAGATCAGCCTGAAAAAAAAAGGCACTTTTTTTTGTTCTGTCTGGTGAAGCTACTAGTCTAGCTACTAGTATTTTGTTATCTGACAGGACACTAGCATCAGTAAAAGGGTCAGTATAATCATAAAAATAAGATTTAGAAGGGTTATCCAGCAAATTTTTGGGTTGTCTAGAGGCTTTGGGTAGACCTTTGAATTAGTGCCCAAATGGAAATGTTTAATGTTAAAATAGCTATATTGCTAGCAAATGTTTGTTTAATGTTTTTCTCATCTGTCACTGGGATTTCTCCCATTTTCTTAGCTTCCCAGCCATGATCCTCCCACCCTAGTGCTAGTGTTAATAATGATAGATCTTCTACAGCATCACATGCACATCTACCTACTAATCGCGTAGCATCTACTTACATATCGCATCCAGATTTCTAAATATCTTTGGTCGTTTTTGTATTGTTCTTCATCTTTGAACACAGTAATACATTTTTCCAATAGAGTTATCTGGTCTTTACCTCCCTTTGGGAAGTTTTCACATAGCCATAAGAAGTACCTTTAGGAAGGGAAAAGAAAAGATTATAGGTTTTCTTAGGTTAGAGATACAAACTTTATAAAAGGCAGCCATGTTTCCTACAGTACCTGTGCCAAACTTCCAGTGGATCAYCACCTTCATACGTTCTGATATCAGCTTCAAATGCTCTAGAATCATACAAGATTATATAAGGAATATGATAAAGTAATCAATCAAGTTTTTTGCCCTCAACTTACTGTTTTTCTCTGTGAATCTTTGACTGGTAGTCGTTAGAACTGGAGCCCAAAGCAGCGGTCAGATTAGCAACTTTTCGTCCTCTTTTCAAAGGCTGTACGTTCTCTTTACTCAGCTCCCACTCACTACCGTTACTCAAATCTGCGTTAACATTCATCTTTCATAAATGTTACGCAAACATCAGTTTGTTTTTGGCGAAAATAAGCCGAAAATTGAGAGAAATTTTGAAACAAAATGGCCGAAAAAAATAGAACGTTTGATTTTCAAAATTTACCGCGCGTCGTCTGACCAACACCAACACGAAAGCTGAATCGGCTTTTGTTCGGATAGCGAAGCTATTCCGAAAATTTTGTCGAAACGCTTCCGAAAGTTAGTGGACCGCTGTAAAAAGCTTATGGCAGGCTCAAGAGCACAGATTCAGTTTAGGGAAGCGAAGARTAAAAGATGGCGGAAAAGCACGGGTTTGAAGAAATGAAAGGTTTCCAGGGCAATGAATACGAAGATAACCCTTATAAAAGAGCAAGAGTGGATGCATCAGGCTATGGTAATGCTGGAGAGAGGTCACCTGGGTTCCAAGGTGGTCAGGATCGGCATTATGCGGAGCCATCGCGGGTGGTTCACATACGAGGCGTCGCTGATGAAGCAAGAGAACAAGATATACTACAATGTCTCAGCCCTTTTGGAAAGATAGCGTAAGTGTTATACATATGAACTCAATGTTAATGTCACTAATACTTATTCTAGTATTTTTTATTTAGTTGTATTACGATGATGCCCAAGATAAGACAAGCTTTGGTTGAGTTTGAGGTGAGCATGTCAGAATCAGCTGTATCTTATGTAGCTAGGATACGTTGATCTTATGAGAGCATTTCTTTATGATATTAAATATAACATCACTCATCCAAATGGCTTGAATAMCGACGTAAAAATAAAGTTAAACTTGAGCATGGTAGTAATTAGAAGGTATGAATGAAATAATTGAAGCCAACTATTGGAGATCAACTTCGTAAAGACATACGCCGGCGTGCCTTGATACCAGCTTCTATTATTTTGCATACAGATCAGATCAGTTATGATTTTCTTTCCCTGTTATATTTTCTAGGATATTGAATGTTCTTCTGAACTAGTTCAACAAGCACAGGTAGTTTAATACAAATTATAACACAGTTAATTTTTTCCATTGTTGAATTAAGTTATGCATAAACATATATAGCTTTTGCAAACTYGTCAAAATCCTGACAATTATACTTAGATCTTATTAACCGAGTGTGAGGTCTGTACGGGATAATCTTGACCGAGGTCGGAATGTACAGACTGAGCACAGCGAGGTCTGTACCCGACCGAGGTCAAGATTATCCCGTACAGACCGACCAAGCTCGGTTGATAAGAGTTTTATTATATGTCTTTTTTCATTGAAAAGGACAAAATTTTTTCGCCGTAAGATTAATATGCGATCGGACTGGTTAATACCGGAGAATCTAGACCAGTCCGCGATGCGATCTATCCAATCAGATTGCTCAATTTGCTAGTGTCCAGGCTCTAAGATTCACGGTCATATAATAATATGCAATACGAGTTTTGTGTATTATACTTTGGATTGCAGTAATTGATCCATTTGTTTGTTTTAGGCTGGAAATCCTGTTTTACTTTGTGGACGAGCTGCTTATGCAAACTTTTCCAAGAGTCAACAAATTTCAAGGCATGTTTCAGAATATTCCAGTCATTACCTAAGCTTTAGTCGCTGTTAAGGAATGGAGATAAGGAATTTAGAGTGGAATAAATGGGAGAGGAAAGGAAAGATATATTTATTTTTCATCTTGCAGAAATGTTCACGCCAACCAGAACAGCCCACCAAATAAGATACTCCTTGTCACTATAATCAACCCTCAATATCCAGTAACAACGGTAAGCTACCAGGTACTCACCATACAATATTGTGCCGTCATAAACTAATAAACATTTCATTCAATTCCACCAGGACATTCTATATACTATCTTTAGCAAGCAAGGTGCAGTTCAAAGGATAGTGATTTTCAGAAAGAGTGGTCTACAGGCTATGGTTGAGTATCCTTTTAGTTCATCCACTATTTAGGGGAAAAAAAGGGTAGCACTTAATAACCTGTGCTAACAAATCTGTGGCCCTTGTTTTATAATAACATATTAATTTATCCTGATTAAAAAATGATCAGCTAGACAAACCGATGATCCATGGCTAAATTAGAATTTAGATGTTGATTTTTGTAGAGGGAGGAAAACTGATAAACAACCCTTAAAGCACGAGAGAACCAACAAGCAACTCTACTCACATTACATGACGCAACTGGGGATTCTACCCATGTATTGTACGCTAAATCATAGCATTTAATAATTGCTATTATACTTTTAAAAGAAGCATAAGAGTAATGAACATGTTATCAATTCCTTAATTGTATGTTAGATATGATACTGTTGAAACAGCTCAAGCTGCTAAGGATGCTCTTAATGGAGCAGACATTTATACTGGCTGCAACACTTTAAAGATTGAAAATGCAAGGGTAGGTATATCCAGAAGTATTTCCTTACTTGCGTAGGGTTGTGGTGGTATTTTCATTACCTGGATATTCTAAAACAAACATTATTTTATTTTATTTATTTAAATTATTTTATTATGTTAATATCTTGATTGTGATTATGACTTATTATCACACATTTTATCCCATGTGTAGGTTCAAATTTATAATATTGTTGTTTAACTGCTATTGTCTAGGCTCAACACCTGAACGTGTATAAGAATGACTCAGAAACATATGACTATACACAAGATAAAGGACCAGGTGAGTATTGAACCACCTTTGTTAGGTTATGACCAGAGTTTGTTGGCTCTTATCYATAATTCTAGGGTTTTCTGGGGTTCTCTGGCTTTTTCTCACTCTTCAATTTAACTTAAACCACTAAAATACAATCCATTAAAAATCAGCGTCACCATGACTCAGAGCAGCCAAGAGATTATTTCAATGTTTAATGATTTGAACTTTGGATTTGGTTTGGTTCATATTGCCTTGAAAACCTGGATTTGAGAAATCCAGCATTTCTACCAGGAAATGTTTGATAAGCCTGGTTAATTCACTAGAAGTTAATTCAAGTAAATAAGTTGATTCAAGTAAATAAGTTGCTAGCCAAAAAAATGTTGGAATTCCAAAGCTATCAAGATCCACAGTCAGTTATCCTTTTTGTTGCAGTTCTTAAAACCTTCCAGTTTATGCCCAAATGATTGTAATTATTTTTTTAAGGCAAATATGTTTTGGAGAAATTCCACCATTTGATGGACATATTGATCATCTTTGTTGATTTAAAGAAGTGCAGTATTTAGAGTCTTGTTATACAATTTGCAGGAGTACAGTTTAACTAAACTTGATGGTTTATGTTTCTGGGCCAGGTTGTAAAAAGGATGAATAGCGCTAGATCTGTCGGATAAATCAGTCGATAAATGTATTAGATAACAGCATCGGCTTATCAGCTGGATAAGGATTTATCCATGGGATAGTGCTATCCACCCTTCGTACACTTGGGCCCTGTTGAATGCTATTATCATCATCAGAAGTGGGGTATTTATCTGGCAAGGGGTGGGATAGATGATAATGATGTAATATATTGGCAATATGCCACATGTCATATACCTTACATCATATACCATTCTTGGTTATCAATTTCAATATTTATGTGTGATAAAAACAACTTGGATTTTTGGGAAAGTATGTGGTTTTAAATTTTAGGACTAAAATGTCTTGAGTGAGACTTACTTTGCCTTTTATAGAAGTGATTAAGAATGTGAACAATCTTCATCTTGAAAGTGAAATCCTTAAATGGTTGTTTAGTTGGTCAGTTGACCAGACCATCTGTGGAAATATTATCGCTAAATCTGTCTCTCTTACCTTGAACATTACATGGTATTTCAAAAAACAAAAACATCTAAAGTTCTCCTGGAGTAATGGATCATTTCAGCACTCATGTCCAGAGGATTTGTTATTTGACTTGAGCAGCTGTTATTTGTTCATGTTAAATTCTAATTCCCATGTAAGCAAGATGTTTACTAACCTTATCTTGTGTAAGCATACAACAAGGTGCACTACATGTTTTGGTCTAACTTCACATACCAGCCAGTTTCATGTCATAGTTAGGTGATGACCTATCTTCTCTGATGGTTGGTTGGCTGGCCATTGAGAGGTATGGATTTTTTCATTATTGTAGTATTACTATTTATGATATTTTTGTTTGAATTGATATATTTACTGCACTCAACATTTCCATTTTTAAGTCAGCAGTGAGCTTATGTATGTATGTTTATGCTCCTTCCATAGACAAGAGTACACAGAACACACAACAGATTATCTTGGAGATGTGGATCGATACAACCTTACAATCATGTGCACTTTGATAGACAGCCACAGACAACACTGCAGAACCTCTTATTTCCAAACTCCATTTAAAAGCTCTGACTCTATAACAATGGGCTTTAGCTTTGTAACACCACAGTCTTACTGTACCATACTTACTTAGATGTCAGAAATATGGAGAAAAATATCTTTTTATGGGCACATATCAGTATCTTCAGTTTGCTGTATTCATCTTTTTTTTAATGTCTTTGGGAGACCTTTCCAGTGAGGGGTGTGGGATGAGAATGGACTATTTACATTTGTCAAAAAGGTTATATAGTTAAATGGAATAAGAAGGATTGTTTCTTTGAAAGAGCTGGGATTTTCCTTATTACTTGTAGAAAAACTTGTGCTATTACAAAACATAGAGGTTTTGTAATCAGTGTTTGGAGGCCTACGAATAGAAGCACCTTCTCACAGCAAGTAAAGTGCACTATTTCAAACATGTCATTAATAAATGGAAATAAAAAGTAGAGAAACATTGTTGCACTGAACATGGCTTATAATTTAGTCTTGTACTATATCTATAATTATAGCCAGATTGGGATGGTATTTCTCAATATGGCCAATACAAACATGTTTGTATGGTGTCATGTATTAAGACACTCAATTATGCATTAAGGCGTGGCACTGCAGGACATTATGTTCTGTGATGGCTAAACTAAAGATGAAGTGGTCAATATTCATTATATTATACAGTAATTTTCATTTTAATCATACCAGTGTACATCATGCAACCATTCATTCTACACGAGTAGCTTGCTTAGGAATGTAGTGCTTTTCACTTATTAAATATTATTGTATTTTATTAATAAAGGTTTGGGTACTAAGCGAAAACAAGGTCTGTTAAGTCCTCCACCAGGGCCGCCAATGTATGGAGGTCATGGTCATGGTCATGGTATGCCGCCAGGACCTGCTGTTCAACAACCTAGCATGTATAGACCACCACCGTCTTCTGGTTGTGTGATTATGGTATATGGACTTGATAAAGATAGAATGAACTGTGATAGACTCTTTAACCTTTTGTGTTGCTATGGAAACATACTGAAGGTAAGTGATGATAAGTGACTCCCCTCCCCCTCCTCAAAATTATCTTGGATGCTCAGCTAACTGAAACATACGCAAGACATCACAAATTCCATAGATACAGCTGAGCTAACTGTGGCCCAGATAGCTCAGTTGGTAAGAGCATTCATCTGTTGTGAGGGAGGTTGTGGTTTGAGCCCTGGCCAGACCAATACCCAGTGTCTTAAAATCACTAAGAAAAAGAAAATTATCAAAGGATGCCGACACATGAAGAAAGAAATGCAAAACTAAAGGTTGCATGTTTGTGTGCAGAATTGTAGATTCGTCWGGATTTGTGACTGTGGCATGTTTTTATGGCATGAAAACCTTGACAGTTTGCTGACATCCATATTAATATGTTGATATTTTGTTTTGTAGATAAAGTTCTTGCTGGGTAAACCAGGAACAGCCATGGTAGAACTGAATGACCATGTAGCATGTGAAACTGCCATTGAAAACCTATCAGGTCTTCATCTTTTTGGATCTAAAGTAGATTTTGGGTAAGTAATGTGATATCTAATCTTTCGATATGCCATCAGGATAGACATGTTTTTTTCAGAAATAGTCCTCGAAGTAATTCTAAGGATTGGAATCACATATGAGCATAGTTTGTTAGGTTTCCCATGTTTCAAGGGTTTTTTTCCAGGTTCACCATGTCCTGACAGCCCAGAGTTTGTTTTAGGGTTCTATCTGTGAGTTAGCTGTGCTCTGACTCTGATCAACCCAGACGTTGTTTCAGTGTTTTGATCTGTGAGTGAGCAGTGGCTTAAGTTTGATCAACACAGTTTGCTTCAGGGTTCAAGCTGTTGGTTAGCCTTGCCATAGTTATTGCTCTTGAATTAACAAACCTTGCTTACAAACTTAGCTTTTTCCAATATGGTCTTGATTGTAACTTCACACTTTGCTAACAGAAGATATGTTRATCTATATTTTTGGTATAGTTTCTCCAAGCAGAGCTTTTTGGTTGAACCAACCAACATTCCTAACCTACCAGATGGCACACCATCATACAAAAACTACGTTCATTGCAAGAACCATCGATTTACTAGTGCTGCAGCAAGTAGCAAGAACCGTATCCTAAACTAGTATGAATGTTCGTTGTATCTATCCAGTAGTGTGCACTAGGGGGACCCAATAGGTAACCTAATATATTCTATATAATCATGAAATAATAACTTTTAAATCCAGTGTTTTACATTTGACCATTAGTGTGAACTTGGAGGTCCCAATATGTTATCTGAGGCACTCCACAGGACTGCCTTATTCTTACTAGTTGCTTTTTGAAAGAGATCAGAAAATTCATTTACAGAAATTTGGGAAGCAGTTAGGGGGCTATAGCTCTCTAATCCAGGGAATGGGGAGCACTTTTTAAAGTGGGGACTAATATCAGTTTTTTCATATTGGAACTAAAGCTAAGAGAAAATAAATTGTTATTCTCTCCCTCCCCCCTACTTCCACTGCGGTCCCTGTATAATAAGGTAAGGTAAGGTAAACTTTATTTAAGCAGGGTAGCCYAATTTGCAAACAGGTCATTGGTTCCTTAACTTAGACAAGGTATATTTTCACCCACTAAAGTGTTGCATTTCTTCAATGCTCCTTTGGACTATGATAAGGAGAAACTTGAACAGGTAAGCAAAAAAAACCCACAGTTATAAGACCAGTAAATACAAATATTGAGTCAGTATGTCTTATTGTTCATTAGATGTGTATTGAAAGTGGAAGCAAAACACCAAGCTTCATCAAGATCTTTACTCCACCAGGAAATGGTAAGTCTCTTTTTTTATTTTATATTTTATTTGTTCTCTTGGTGTCATACAGATTATTACTGTACAGCAGAGGTTTAGAGGTTTTTTAAGGAAAATCAGAGGCTTACTCTTCTCTTCATAGCCATAACTACGTGTTGTGCTTGAGCATAATGTTTTGTGCATTTTAGACCATTTGTCATTCCCTAGAGTATTATATCTTTGTTTACAGTTGCACACAAGAAGACACATAAATGTGGATTCTACTCGAACAAAGAATCTTATTCTTGAGAGAATATAAATGGTCTGACATTAAAAATTATATATTTTTGTAGCAAGAAGTGTGTCAGGATTGATAGAGTGGGCTACAGTAGAACAAGCAATGGAGGCTATGGCAGCCTGTAACCATTTTGTTGTTAAAAACCCTTGTAAGTACTTAATTGATATCATTAATCATGACTAGATGGACTTAAAGTATTATGTACTATCATTACCCTGTTAGTGGAAAGGGACAAGGAGACAAAAAATTGATGTTCTTCTATTTCCTTCCCACTTCTCTCCTTCATCCATTTCTCCCATTCATATCCTATTCCATTCCCATTCTCTGAAGTGAGAAACCGCCACCCGGTTAGCTCAGTTAGTAAGAGCGTTGGTCTGTTGTGCAGGAGGTCATGGTTCAAGCCTCGGCCGGACCAACACTCAGGGTCTTAAAATAACTGAGGAGAAGGTGCTGCCTTTGTAATTACATCTGCAAATGGTTAGACCTTCACGTGGCTCGGATGATCACGTTAATGGCGGTCCTGTCCCTAATTAACTAGAGACGTTAGCAGAGGACCACAAGTTTATCAGTTGAATTATTGTCAATTAGTGTTATCCTCTATAAACAAAGTTAATTATTATTATTATTATTATTTCCTTCTTTTACTAAGCTTATTCTCATTCATTTCCTATCCTATTCCTCTTCTCTGAAGCAGAACCTTATGAAGGTTAATAATATGATTTAAAATCAGGCCTTAATCAAAAGTAATTGTTGGTGTGTTTTTGTTTCTACAGCTGCCAAGACTATTTTTACCGTCAAACTAGCATTCTCCTCCACCCCTAGTGCTTCATAAAACAAGACACCAAGTTTAGCATGGAATATGTGTGCCTGGATATATCAGTAGCATACAATAGAATGTGTTCTGTACATTGACATTAAATAAGACTGCCCCAAAATCCTGTGTTATGTTGGGGTTTCATATTAGCTTAGTTATCAGCCTAGTTATTTCTTGACCTTCTTAGGTTTAGTAAATTGTATGATTTTCTTTTTCTTTTATTCTGCACTACTTTAAAGATGACCCAAAAAAGAGACTATAGTACCAAGTCAGTGAGGGATCAGGGATATTAAAGCTTTTTGTTAGTTATTTCCCTCTATCCTGTGTTTAACTTGTTGTACACAAGAGACCGTGATTGACTTGGGACCCTGATCCCAAGGACAGGTAGAACCTTTGCTTGCAGGATACCATAGGTGATGTCACTAGTTAGGGCAACAGCAAGTAGTCTACCAGAGGAATGATTTTCCAGAATGTATAAATGAGCTGTTTTTAGCATTTTTAGTGTTTTAATGCCTGGAAAGATGTACATGAATACCTTTTTTGCTACAAAATAAAAATGTACTTGTAAATGAGTTTGCGTTTTTAGTAGAGAATAGAAACTTTTTATAGTCACTCTTAACCTTATTTTGGGCACAATTGGATGGAGAGGGGGAGGGAAAGAAAAGARTCTCCTCTCTCTCCCTCTCCCTTCGGTACAAGTCCCGCTCAATCAACTCTGAGCTAACACAGGAAGCCCAGTATAGGAAAAGAGAGAAAAGAGCAATGAGATGCCTGCAGAGGAGGCTAGATTCAACTCAAACTAAGAAATATCTTAATTCCAGGCCAGAGGTTTGAAATAGGATCCATAAGAGGTCTATATATTATTTAGAGGATGGAAGGGTAATGGCAGATTGCTCTACGGAAAAGAGAACAGGTTGTGCATATCTCAATGCTTTTTCTATATTGCATACTTTTTAACTTAAGTTTTTGATGAATTCAATTTCTTTTTCCTACTTTCACCTTTTTTAAACTCTGGTACATTGGTTCCTTAAAAAATAGAATAACTAGCATTGAATAATATTTATACGATTTTTGAAGTGCCTATACAATAACTGCTTTAGGTGCTGTATATGGATGATGGCAATGATAGATAAAATGGAATTGAATGGGAATTTTAGATGATCTTAGATGATAAAAATGGATATAAAGTTATTTATTAAAATAAATGATTGGTTTGGTATGAATCAAGTAAATGGGTCGCCTACACTGCCCCAATGCTCAAACATTTCTATGGAAGTTGTATATTAAAATTTACCATCACATTGCATTGCTGATAAAAATTCTGACCGGAAAACCAATAATGATGGCGGAGATCTGGTACTAGTGTTGTGAATGATTCCCAAGGGGATGCTGGGTAGTCACTAAAATAAGCCGTCAAATCGTGTATATCAGTACCATGTTTTACAGTTGTTTTGGATTTTTAGCCAAAAGATTAGGCTATTTTGATCGATTTAAGCTTAATTACCCCAAGAATAGAATCGAGAAGAAACTGTACTAAATGAATTTAGGCCGGGTTCGCCAAACACCGGAAGCTGGAATTTAGAGCGGGGTTCACACAAACATTGGTGCTACAGATCTAGTTGGGGCAGCATGGCAGAAGGCAGAACAAGGCCTTACTCTGCAGTTGATTGCACTGAAGATAGTATTTCAATGCAAGGGTTAATTGGGAAAGGTTCTTATGGCGAGGTTTGGAGAGCTAAATGGAATGGAAAAGTCGTAGCAGCCAAATGCCTTCACGCAGAACTCTTACATCACGATCAGGAAATAAGAGACCACCACGCGGAAGAGTTTCGAAGAGAATCTGATGTTTTACGAGGCTTAATTCATCCTAATATCATTCGATTCTATGCAGTATTGTTTCCTCCTACACGTTCACCTGTTATCGTCACAGAGCTTCTCCACTGTGACTTGCAAAAATACATCGAGCGTTCTACGACCACTCCTAAAGTACTTCCTGATAAAGCCATTTCTATCAGCCTTGGTATTGCCGAAGGATTAGAATATCTACACGGGTTGAAGCCTCCAGTAGTACACCGTGATCTCGCTACTAAAAACATCCTATTAACTGCTGAAGGTCACCCTAAGATTGCAGACCTTGGGGTGGCTAAAGTGTTTGCTGCAGGAAAGGACGCATTTGCAACCGTTGTACCTGGAACACCTTTGTATTCAGCACCAGAGACGTTTCCAGCTAAGAAGGGTCTTGACTTCTGTACTGAAGTGATCTATGGCGTCAAGGTGGATATATTTTCTTTTGGCGTTGTTTTGATGGTCATTATCATTGGTCAAGAACCTACAGTTTGGCCGCTTAGCCCTATCAAAGGTGCGAAAATTGTACTAATGAAAAACACAAATTTCATTCACATTTTAATGCTAAAATTGATTCCCATTCTATTCTAAATGCATGCAACCATTACCTGCATGCTGACACATAAATGGGTTCCCATTCCCTAATAATGGAGCATTTCACCAGAGTCAAATATTTTCCCATTACTGCATGCTATGACACATAAATGGGTTCCCATTTCCTAATGGAGCATTTACCACTGTCAAATATTTTCCCATTACTGCATGCTATGACACAAAAATGGGTTCCCATTCCCTAATGGAGCATTCAGCCACACACAAATGGCTTCCCATTACCTGCAGGCTATGACACATGAATGGGTTCCCATTCCCTAATGGAGCATTCAACCATTTAGTAAATTATACTGTTTTACATTAATTTTTGCTCTTTTTATTTAAGCTGGAAGCAAGAATACACTCATATCTGAGAAGGAACGTAGGAAAAAGGACATCGTCAGAATGGGAAATCACAAGTTAAAGAGCCTTGTTTTGGATTGTCTTCATGATAAAAGTAGCAAGAGACCAACTGCAAGTCAAATTTGCAAATCTATTTTTAAAGTTCACCAGGAACTAGAGTCAAGGAAAAATGGTCCTAAACCTAGCACTGCCTCGTGTTCAGGAATCATAGATACAGAAAGAAATCCTTGCCAAGGTGCTGCTAGTAATTCAGCAGAGACAAGTACCTTTGAAAAGATTCCATCCCAGTTTCATTATGACTATAGGTTTAAGGTACTCCTTCTTGGAAGTAGTGGTGTTGGGAAGACCTGCTTGGTAGAACGACTCATAAATCCTTCATATAATATAGCTTACTCAACAGCAACCCTGGGTATTGAGCCACAAAGCCAAGCATTTCAGTACAACTCCAGTTCTGTCCATATGTCAATAACTGATACTGCAGGACAGGAAAGATTCTTTGCCATTCAGCCCATGTACTTTCGTGATGTACAGGGTGTGTTCTTAGTATATGACGTCATGATGGAAAGTACTTTTAAAGAACTAGAACGTTGGTTGGATATAGTAAAACAGTATTGTACTGAATGTCATGTACGAGTGCTTGTGGTAGGGAACAAAATAGACTGTTTTTATCAGGGAAAGAAAATAGAAAGGAATGTTTCCAAAGAAAGAGCACTTGAATTTGCTAGAAAACATGGTTTTCCCTATGTAGAAACCAGTGTATTGGACATCAATCTAGACACTATTATGAACATGTATAAAAAGATGGTTGAGTGTTTAATTGATGCTGTCAGTCTGAATACTATAAAAATTGATATGAGAGACACAATGAATAAGACCAATAAGGTTGACCTTTCTACTACAGAAAACAAAGAAACATCTCATTGTAAATGCAAAAGATAAAAGATCTAGCACCTCTAAGGTCAGTGAGTTGGATGGGGGGGGGGGGGGGGTATTGTACCAGCTTTTATTTTTTTATGCATACATGCATTTATTTACTTTTAAATTTCAAATGAAATTCGGGTAAAAAAATAGTGAGTTTGTGGGGGGATATCACTGCTAAAATTCCATTCTATCATTTTATAAGTATAGTTAGCACAAGGGAAAGTTTGTTTTTATTGGGGGATGGCTGGGGCTTCAAATAGATTTAAACTTTTGTGTAGGGTTTTTATTTTAATGAAAGCTAGTGCCTTGTTGACTTATTAGCAGGGTTATGAGTTTCTTACCCAGTGAAAGGGACAGGGGTGCAACCATTTTTGAAAAGTTTACTGTGAATCCCTCAGTCCTTCTCCCAATAAAAAACATGCCTTTCCTAACCATGTTTTAATCTAATTTAAGCTTGAAAGTTAAATGAATAAATTAATTAATGTATTGCTAGTAAAACGTTTTTACAAATTAATGATCAAAAAAGAAACCATGCCATTCCAGAAATTTATTCCTGTATTCTACCAACTTCTTATGCAGCACTATTTTGGTATCTTGGTTTCTTATGTTATCAAAACAAAATGTCTAATGAATGCAAAATATAAAGTGTGAAAAGGAACCTGCTCTGCAAACGTTTATGCAAATAACACCAAAATTATATTTCTAAGTTAGCATAAAATTTTATGACTATAAAATTTTATATAATGCAGAATATTTTCACAGCATTTGCATTTTTAGCCACAACTGAATTTCTAAGTTGGTTTTTGAAACATTTTGTTTTTAAAAAACTTCTTTATGATAATTCTTTATAATTTCTTTAATTCAGTGTACATAAAATAATTTCGGGAGCCTTTTTTTTAACCAATGCAAACCTCTCGTTTTAATTTTAATATAAAAAGGTTATTTTTAAAATTAAAATTTTAAGTGACCTGTAACAGCAGAAATCGGAAAAATGCTCTTTTCTTTCATCTTATTTGTTTAAGTTTTCTAATCTTTAATGAAAATAAGCGACAACTATGTTTCCTACCAATCAGATTTGTTGTCCCCGACCACCTGCAAACCGGTGGCCGCGCATTCCTGGTGATCTACCAGCCCAATACGGAAACAAACCATATGTCAAAACACTTCGCTCTTATTAACGACATAAGCTAGAGCTCTTAGATCTTCTCTCATAATACAGTATTGGATTATTCCTGGACGTCATCCATTGAGGTACGAGTTAAGGATGGGAAAAGGCATGAATGAGAGTAAGTGTATGGAATCGAGCGTGGAGAATAAAGCTCGGGAGAATCATATTCTACTTGGTAAACAAGACGGAAATAGCCAAACTGAAATATGCCGGGCTCTTCGATGGGACGAGGTACCATGTCAATTTCGCGAACAGTACATCATGACAGGTTACAGACAACCGTACATCAGTGCTTATCAGTGCATTAAGAGCGCTTTCATGGCACGCAACGAGACCATGAACTTTTGGACGCACTTCGTTCCCTTCCTTTTGTTCCTAATACGCTTTGGTGTTCTATTCATGCGTGAGCCATTTGACCCGTACACTTATCCTCTACTGTCATTCGCAATTGGAATATGCGGATTTTTATTGATGAGTTCTGGAGCTCATCTTTTTAATTCCATGTCTCCAAGAAGACGCCACGTCTGTTTCTTTTGTGATTATTCAGCTATCAGTGTGTATAGCGTTGGTGCTGGAATGGCATTTTATTCCTACGGCCGTCCCGTCCATAACGGAAGCAAGGGATGGAGTTTCTTCTCTCCCGGTATCTACTTGAGTGGATCAATATTGGTTTCATTCATCTCAACATATTTCTGCTGCGCCTCAAGACATCGGTGGGCCAAGATGAAGTACGTTATAAGAACCGGTTGTTTTGTTTTGGCTTTCTTCTTTAACTGTTCTCCATATCTTTACCGTGTCGCTGTTGAGGGTATCGACACCATAGACCCTCTCGCTTGGTCCTACTTCAAGAGACACAGTATCTTCTATCTTATAGCAGCGCTTGCCAACACATCTCGTATGCCAGAGAGACTAATGCCAGGAGTTTTCGACATTATTGGACACAGCCACAATTTCCTTCATGTTTTTACAGCTCTTGGAGTATCCGACCAGTTTACAGCTATGGAAATCGAAATGCGTCACAGGCGACCTTCTCTGGAACGTTTAGGGGATAGTTTTCTATCCCAGAAGAGTTTGATACTGATGATTCTAGTCTCGTTGGCGAATATTTTTATCGTTATTTGGTTCGCTAAGGGACTTAAATCAGATAAAGAAGAGGAAAAGAAAGAACTTTAAAATATGCATAATCTCAGCTGTTACTCTCATAAAATATTTTTTCCATTACTCTTAAAAACGATTTGGGTGATTGCTTCTTAAATAATCGATACAACTTATGGGGGAACGAGAAGTATGGTGAAAAAAATAACYATAGGAAAAAAATTATAAATTACTTCACTAGTTATGAAATATAAACTGAAAAAATTAAATATGGATACTATTTAAATGCGAGGACAAGAATTGATCTATATTGATTGAAATCAATCCAGTCACCTGGACTAATTCTTGTTAATGATTTATAACCAATCTTCTATGCAAGACAAAAGTCCATGTAAAACCATAGGAATATGTTTATACATTCTTTATCACTTATTGCTACCAACTTAGTGAGTACCAAAACTGGATATAGACTGATTCCATAAGTCAGTGTTCTCGTGCTTTTGTCGATTCTGGATGCTGACACACCGACGCTATTTGAGCGGGAACGACCCACAAAGTAGCGAAAACTACGACTTATAGAATCAGTCTAAACTGGATAACATGATTGTGATAAATTGCGCTCAAGTGTTTTAGTGGTCTTGAGATCTTTTCTTTTGTTTTTAAACTTGTGTACGTAAAGTCATTAATAGGGGTCTTTTGAAAGAATAATTTATTTGACCAGATGTCATGATTTGCCGGTGTTTTCATGATTGAAAGAAAATAAATTGCTTTTTTTATGATACTTACTTGATTCGCAATTTTTCCTAATGATTTATGACTGGAAAAATTAAAAGAAACTTTCGGTTCTTTTAGATCCCAGGAAAACGATTAAAAATCCCCTCTAGCATTTTAAATATTTTTTAAAGAAAATTTCCAATTAAACGCGGGTAACCTTGCATGAATAGTAATAAAAAGAATAAAACAAACAGTTGAAGTTCTTATGTCAACGGTGTCGCAACAGGAAAACGCAAGGATTTGAGCTTTTTTTCCGCCTTCTGCGCTCAATTTCCGCTATGGCGTTTTAAGGTTTCAACTGAAAGCAGTCAAAATGAAATACAATAACAAATAAAGAAGATTATTGTTCAAGCCATTCCGAAAGACTAAATTGAATTAAATGGACAATTTCAAGTTGGCAATATAAATTCTTCCCTCGTTTTTGAAAATCAGTTTTATGCCAACAATATCCTGATAATATTCTCAAATATTTTTTAATTTAATTAATAGATAAAGATGGGTGGTGTATGCATTATTTATTACACCGGTAAGATATTCATGTAAATATGGTAATGTAGGATCTGACGTGACGTGTTGTCACGCATCCCTCACGTGTACAGGTTTACGTGACAAAAGGAGASGCTACTTTGTCCTTTATCTTCACTTCCCCTTGCTGGCTATGCAGTAAGTGAGATGGAGTCAGCGAACTCTGAAAAGCCTTGGGACTATCTTCTAGTTTTTTCTGAGAAGTGCAAATCAGAAGAGATAAAGGGCTATATTATTGACTGTATAAAAAGAGCGAAGCTCGAAGTACGACGTGAAGAGTTTGAAGACCAAACATTATTGAGCATAGCAGCACCATTTGAGGTCTTGGCTGCAAAGGTGTGTGTGATATATTAAAATATGAAGACTTATAATCATCTCTGGGTTTAATATTAACGAAGTATTTGTTTTTAAGGCAGAAGAACAGTCGTTTGAGAAGGAGAGAGCTGATAAATCTGGTGTAAGTTATTTTATTTAGTTTTATGATTATGAAACATTGGAGGGTTAATTTAGTTGCCCAATCAACTCTGAAATTAATGGAGTAAAATTAAAAATAAATAAATAAATAAAGAACACACTACCAGCATTAATTGATTAAAAATTAAAAACGAATGAATAAATTTACATCTTTTAAAGAAAATTTTATCCATTTATAAATTATTATTAGCAATTTCCATAGCAACCATGTTCAAGCTTGCTGGTTGTAGTCCAGCATTGCCAACAACCTGCTAGTACATGTGTTTTATCTCATGAGGTGTTACAGTGCGAATCGAAAAACCGTGGGCACCTAGAAATATTCTAGCAATGTTCTATTCTTCTTTGGCCAATCAGAATTGCCTTTCTAACCACAAGATAACGGAAAGATAACAATAACGCTTTTGATTGGCTATTGAACATTCTTGAAATATTTCTAAGTGCCCACAGTTTTTCAATTCGTACTGCAAATATTTTTGAAATATTCATTAATTTTATTTTACCATTCTTAATATTGTTTTGAAATGAAAGTGAATTGTGTTTTTAATTATACATCGCTCGTTATATTTTTGAAAAAAAGTTTTTTTGAATGATTGAGTGACATGAAAAAAGTAAAAAAACTTAGATTCAGCAAAAAATAAGACTGTTAGCAGTCCCTCTTTTTCATCTTTACTTAGTTGAGTTGAATTTTTTCCTGCCTAGGACTGAAGCAGTGAGTGGGAGCAAGTTTGAAGTGACATGTGGGGAGAGGTCACCCCCAATTCCTACACATCCTAGGCTGGGAAAATACTTAACTTGACTGACTCTAGCAAAAAAAATCAAGATAAATCGAAAAATATTTTCTCTTGGGGAAATAAATATATTTTCCTATTTCATACCATATGTCATTCCCTTGAGTACTATTTCTTTTACTTTTTTGTAAATAAGCAAAGCAAAGAATTTTTCTTCCATGATGTGATGAAACAGTGATAACATAATTTATGTTTAAAATTATGATTTCAACTTCTTTTACCTCAACTAGGCATGGGAGTTCTCTTTGGATCAGCTTGATAGATTTGCTGGCTGTGAGGACAAGAGTACTTTCTTCACCCCATCAGAGAGAGCTTTTCTTGTGCGTAGCTGTCTTGATTCACTAGAGTATGAAAAGGTGGGGTTGATCAATAATCATTTGGTAATTTTACCAGATTTTTTTTACTAAAGTCAGTTATCTTAATTATTTTAAGCAATGCCTCAATAGTGTGATTTTAGATTTGATCTATTAACCTGACACTGTATATATTCTCTTCTGTACAAAAAGAGTTCTTCTCAAGTATAGGTTTTCCAGTTTTTTCCCACCACAAAATCAATTTGAAATAAAGCTTTTAAGTCCTGACATATTTCTGGGTTCAAATGAACACAAAAACAGCAAAGACATATCAAGATATTCTTAATAATAAAATTAAGCTCCACCTGAAACAATAATTAAATGACTTTGGACAAAAAATCCTGTCATGAAGGAAAAGTAAGAAAAAGTATTATAGGATTACTTTTCATTTTGGACCCAGAAGAAATTTTTCCAAAATTATTTACGTCACACTGTTAGCTTAGTTTCAAAAAAATGATCACAAATGCTACTTAACCAATGAATGTGATGACATAATGTTAACATGTGTTTGTTTATATCAGAGTAAGCTTTTATCCCTTGGAGTTTGTCAAGGCTCAGCTGACAATTTCCTTACCTGGCTTCTTCACTCCAAGCCTCAAACTCTTGAAGCAGCTTTCCCTCTTCATAACCAAGAATTCCAGCAAAAACTATGGAAGAGAATGAAAGCTAACATCATAACCTGTCCTCTTCAAGAGATTAGGGACTACTTTGGTAAGCTTGTTAGATCTACTCCATACAATGTTTTGGCATATACTATGTAGGTGTTGTAATTCAGCACCATATGTTTCCCATTCATATGAAAACTGCAGGTTTATTTTATGGCTTTGACAGGTGAAGATGTTGCATTTTACTTTGGTTGGATGACATGTTTTACGGGTAGTCTTCTTCCTGTTGCCATGATGGGTGTGATGTTATACTTTCTTAACCCAAAAGGTGTTACAGTCGATGACAACCCTCTTCTACCTTTTTACGAAGTATTGATGGCTTTCTGGGCTATCTCTTTTCTTGCTGTAAGTATCATGTTCCTATACAAAGATTGTCAAACAAGAGTTTTTATAGTGACAATACTGCATTTATTTCCAGTTGTTCCAGCCCATAAGTGATTATTTGAGACTTGTTCTTTGAGTCAGTTACATTTTTATTATTTTAACTTGTTTGCTTCTTGCTTCTTAGTAACTGAATAACTTAGTATAAAATTAACTTTTCCTTATATACATTGGAATATATTTATTTAAATCTCTTGGGATGTTTAATGATTCGTCCTTGCTTTGTCCTTTTAAATGTTCCCTTAATCCCATGTTCACGGGCTTGTACACCAGTATCATCAAATAGGGTGTTGGTTGTAATTCACTGTCTATGAGAATGTACCAAATTCAATAGTTCTTTGTGCCAATACTTCATCAGGAGTTGGCCATTCATAAGTTTATAGCCACCACAGAGCTTCCCACATTTATTTTTCTTATGCTGCCTCAAATCCATTTGTCAATTACATCATGCACTGCAGTATCAGCTGAAAGGAAAGGTATTGTAGTATGTTTTTAATATAATTTTTCGTGTTTTAGATTTGGAAAAGGAAAGAAACAGAGTTGTCCTACAAGTGGAATACAATCAATATAGATCACCATGAAGAGATCAGGCCAGAGTTCCAAGGAATGCTAATCAAAAGTCCGGTTACAGGAAAGCCAATGAAGTATTTTCCTAGATGGAAGAGATGGCTTCGCTATGGCTTAAGTTTCCTGCTAACCTTGCCTGTGCTGTCAATAGCTGTCGGTGCCATGCTCTGTTCACTCAACCTGAATGGCTACATCAAAGATAAGGAGAGTCCTGTATATTTTACCTTATTGGCACGTTTTGCTGAACCAGTGAGTAACATATCTATTCTTTTAGAGATTGGAATATTTGATATATATAAATAAGCTAATGCTAATAATGCTGCTGATGTTTGAATTCTTTTCTGAAGATGACACTTGTCGAAAATGTTCAAAACTTTTAAAAAACTTTACTTTTGTCTTAATGTATATTTTGAAAAATAATGCAAAATTTTAACTTTTAATGTACAGGGTCAGCTATTTTCTGCAGATAACAAATATTACGGATGGCTGATACCGACTATTGGTCATTCATTGGTGATCAACTTGTTAAACACTTTATATCGCACTGTAGCTCACTTCTGCACAGATCTAGAAAACCACAGGTAAATTTTTAACAAACGACTAGTGGATATAAACTAGAATAACACACAAAAATCTTTATTATGGTGTTGAACACCATATGGAAAGACTTCTAGCCCTATACAACTTTGTAAGTCAGAGACTTTAATAAAAAGAGTTTTGACATTTTATGGATCTTTCCTCCCTAGGACCGAGAGAGCATGGAACAACTCTCTAATTACAAAGAGAGTGATGTTTGAAGTCTTCGACTGTTTTATACCATTATTTTACATAGCATTCTACCAGCTTAATGTGGTAGCTTTAAGAAGAGAGCTGGTAGGGCTGTTCTGGGGTGAGTAACATTTATCTTTCACTAAATATTTTTACTTTCAAATAAAAACTTTCTTTCAGCAAATTAGATGGAGAGCTTTCAGAATAAGCCAGCGGCCACCAGAGCTCTGATGGTTACTTCAAAGTTAACTGCCGGCTACTTTTTTTTTCTATGGTATAAACRATTATCATTAATTTATTGGATCCTAGCCGGCTACTTCAAACTTATGAGTAACTACTCCAAAACATTCTGAAAGCCCTAGATAGTTCATATAATGATGACCTCTCAGTAGGCCAATTGTAGACATCTCAGTTTTATCAGTACTGTGTAGCTCTCAACTGCAATATTTATGGCACACCCACTTGAAATAATGGGACGCAATAGGAAAGGAATTGGTGAACCTTCATTACATTTCCCACAGTGCATTACACATCGTGCTTAAGATATGCATCACTTTAATCTTACAGGTGACGAAATTCGTAGATTAGTAACAGAATCATTGATCCCATACATAAAAGAAAAAAGTGTAATGTGGAAAAGGCGTCGTGCTTATGCCAAAAGCAAGAAAGATGACACTAAAGATGTTGATCTTCCATCTCAGGTGTGTAAAAAAAAATTTTGATCAAATTCCTTCTTTTTGAACACGTTTAACAACTGCTGTTTTCTTCACTCATGCAGGCTCAACAAGATGTGGTGCTTGAGGAATATGACCAGTTTGATGACTTCCTAGAAATGGTTGTACAGTTTGGGGTAAGACATGGGAAATCCCTCATGACACGGATATGAATTACCAATTACTCTAAAGTGGAAGAATGTTCATCACCGTACACAATATTCATTCATATTTCAGTACGTCACGCTGTTTGCATCTGCCTTCCCATTGGCTGCAGCTATTAGTATCGTGTTTTTGTTTATTGAGGCAAGATCAGATCTCTACAAGTTGCTTTATATTTATCAGAAACCGCCCGTCAAAAGGTAATGACCAACAAACATAATCAACATATTCCTATAGTTATTTGCGTCTACTTTCGAACAGGTTTCATACCGATAACGTGCATGTCAAAATGTTGATCAAAGTTGCGCAAAACCAGCAGAGCAATTGATCAACGCATTCCTATATGACTAGACGCTCGATTATTTGCGCACCCAGGTTTTTCCACTGATTGCGCTCATAAAAATCTTACTGATCACTGATTAAAAATATAAAGACAGGCTTTCTTTCATTTTTTTCAGGGTGTCTAGTATAGGAGTTTGGTACAATGTACTCTACATGATGATGATTTTATCGATGCTCACCAATAGTCTGATTGTCGGGTTCTCGTCGGAACAACTCGCTTCTTGGTGCCCATGGATGCAGGGGTGGATCCAGGGTAGTTTACGTGATTTCCGTAAACTACTCAATTTTTTTCAAAGCTACGCACTTCTTTCTAAATAATGACAAAATATGTGTATTACATTATTCTAGGAACTACTAGAAACAACTCACTTGTTTGTTTTTCAGTTAATTATTTTAATTATTCAGTTAATTATTTTTCTTTAAAAAGAAAAGTCAAACAAAAATGAGTAACTCGTCATTTCTGCCGATTCCTTACCGATTCCCGCAAAAAATTTCGGGTTTCGGATATCTCCGTCGGTACGCATCGGAATGCTATCGGAAAACGATCGGAAAACAGCCTTTGTCAAATAGAACCTCAGGGAGTGAGCGTGCGTAGTTGTAGAGCTAGGCCGGTGTGATRATCGTAAACTACTCAAAGACTTCTCTGATTGGCTGGAAACACATTGATTGTTTTGGAAACCACTCAARCCCTTTTCTGATTGGCTATCTACTTTGCAAACTACCTCATAAACTACCAGCAAAACTATAAAAAGCTAGGCCTACCCCCGTTGGGTCTCTTTCGTTCTTATGATTAGAGTCATAGACTTGCTCAGTGTAGTTTGAACGAAGGATTTAATATTCTACAATGCGTGGCTACCCGATTTGCAGGAGAGAGGACTGTTCTCCTTTCGACATTGGCTTGTACTTTAAAGAAATTGGCTCTTCATCACCACAAGATAAGCTGGGGTTCATTGAGAATGTGTGGAAACCAGGTGAGATTTTTGATTTCCCAGTGTCAATAGAAAATAGAAAGCCTCGTAAGTTTGTCTTTGAATGGCTTAGAAGATATCCCTGSCTTGCATACTCTAAATATCTCGATGGAGCATTTTGTTTTCCCTGTGTTTTGTTTGGAGTAGAATCTGGTAGAAATGCTCATAAATTAGACAAGTTGTTGAAGTACCCACTCACATGTTGGACTACAGCGGCTTCGAGACTTACAAAACACGCCAGCGGTAAATGTGAGATGCACAATTTTGCTGTAATTGCCATGGATAAYTTTTTGAAAACAATGAGGCAGCAAGCGGTCCCAGTAGATCAGCAGTTGAATAATATTGTTCAACAGCAAATCGATAGAAATAGGACGGTCCTTAAGTCTTTGYTYGAAACGATAATTTTCTGTRGGCGAAACAACATAGCTCTCCGGGGTCAACGCGATGATGACCCAACAAATGCTAGTCTATCAGGAAACTTTCAGGTCCATTTCAACCCTCCGTAATCTTAAGAACTACTTAAGAAATACTATGGCCCAAGACAGAATGAATRAACTGGCACTGATGCATTCCCACAGAGACGTGGACTTAGATCTTGAGGAAATAATAGATTTATTTGCTACTTTAAATCCTAGACGAATGAGAATGGAGA